TTCTTCATGACCATTTTTTTTTTTTAGATTCCATATATATGTGTTAGCATATGGTATTTGTTTTTCACTTTCTGACTTACTTCACTCTGTAAGACAGACTCTAGGTCCATCCACCTCACTACAAATAACTTAATTTCTTTTCTTTTTATGGCTGAGTAATATTCCATTGTATATATGTGCCACATCTTCTTTATCCATTCATCTGTTGATGGACACTTAGGTTGCTTCCATGTCTTGGCTATTGTAAATAGAGCTGCAATGAACATTGGGGTACATGTCTCTTTTTGAATTATGGTTTTCTCAGGGTTTGCCCAGTGGTGGGATTGCTGGGTCGTATGGTAGTTCTATTTATAGTTTTTTAAGGAACTTCCATACTGTTCTCCATAGTGGCTGTATCAGTTTACATTCCCACCAACAGTGCAAGAGGGTTCCCTTTTCTCCACACCCTCTCCAGCATTTATTGTTTGTAGACATTTTCATGATGGCCATTCTGACTGGTATGAGGTGATACCTCATTGTGATTTTGATTTGCATTTCTCTAATGATTAGGATTAAAGATGTAAATGTAAGGCCAGACACTATAAAACTCTTAGAGGAAAACATAGGCAGAATACTTTATGACATAAATCACAGCAAGATCCTTTTTGACCCACCTCCTAGAGAAATGAAAATAAAAACAAAAATAAACAAATGGGACCTAATGAAACTTAAAAGCTTTTGCACAGCAAAGGAAACCATAAACAAGATGAAAAGACAACCCTCAGAATGGGAGGAAATAGTTGCAAATGAAGCCACTGACAAAGGATTAATCTCCAAAATTTACAAGCAGCTCATGCAGCTCAATATCAAAAAAACAAACAACCCAATCCAAAAATGGGCAGAAGACCTAAATAGACATTTCTCCAAAGAAGACATACAGATGGCCAACAAACACATGAAAGAATGCTCAACATCACTAATCATTAGAGAAATGCAAATCAAAACTACAATGAGGTATCACCTCACACCAGTCAGAATGGCTATCACCAGAACAGCTGATTTATACAGTGGAGTAGGTAGGAGCAAATACTGGCTGTAGCAGAGGCCAGAGCAGGGAGGGCATGGTCAACTCTGCTGGGGTGACTGGGGGCCTGACGATGCTTCTTCCAGGCTGGGGCACTAGAGCTGAACGTCCACAGAGGAGGCGAGGTAGTCAGTAGGCCAACAGGTGATGGGTGGAGGGTGTCCCGTGCTGAAGGTGCAGCCGGGTCCCAGTCCCGTGCCTGAGTGAAGGCGTGGGTGGAGGGGGCACCCTGCTCTGTGGCCTGGGGGTGAGGAGTGCCCAGCGTCCATCAGCAGCTGTTCCCGTTGGCCCAGAGGTGGGTGGGCTTCACAATGGCCCGGTCCTGTGAGCTTACCAGATAAGTAGGCTAGCCTTTCTCTTGACATTCTTCCTGTTGGAAACGTCTGTCTGCATTCCAAACAGCTGAATTATAATCACTGCAGCCCTTGTCCTTCCTGGAGGGCAGCCTGGGTTCCCACTCTACCTCAAGGAGCGGGGTCCGCCTTTCATAAGGTCTTTATTCCGTTGCATGTGGTTTTCCCCTCACCACCACCCCCTTTCCTTTTTAAGGTTCACAATGCAGGGATTCCCCTCTTTGGAGCTATTTAAACAGAAACAGGGTGCTGGCAGGAGCAGCGCAGAAGGGATTCCTGGCCCAGAGGGAGGCTGGCTGGGTGGCCCTGCGGCAGGCGAGGTCCGGCTTTGAACCTCAGGTGAGAGACACCTGTGGCTGCCAAGCCTCTGTCTGGAGTGTGTGTCGTCTCCCTGGAGCTGCTGACTGTGGCGCTGTCCCCGGGCCTGTACTGTCCCCATCCAGGTGCTCCAGGGAAGGATTTCCTGTCCTTCTGATGAGCCTCGGAGCCTGCCAAGTCCACATGTTTCTGGAAGGCCTGTGCACAGCCCAGGGGTGGGAGCTGGCAGTCTGGGCAGCTGGGCTTACGAATACTGGGCTACAGGGAGTCTGGACAGTCACACCCTTGACCCTTCTCGGCAGACCTTACTCGTAGTGGGGGAATTGGAGGCAGTGGGAGTATCCCAAGAGGTAACTGATGTAGCTTCTGGAAAAGACGGATCAACCTGGAGGCTAAGCCTGCTGAATCTGTTGTCTGGACTCATTTGGGGGTTGTCACTGGTAAACACACACCTTCCAGTGTGTCATGACAGGCTATGGTCAGAAGGACTGGTGTTTGGGGTGGTAATTAAACACTGTCTTGGGCACAGGAGTTGAACAGACTTGAATTTGAATTTGGCTGCAGGAGCTTGGGCAAACTTCTCGACCTCTCCAAGCTTCAGTTTCCTCATCTGTAAAACCGGGTGTTTCCATGGGCTGGACCAGGCGGCAGGGAGGCCAGGAGGTACCCTGTATCATGGGTTATCGTGAGGACTAGATAAGATAATGCATGTAAAAGGCGAGTGGTGGGCCTGAGAGTGGCACCTGTCCAATAAGGGGTAGCCACCCACGTGAGAACTGAAAGAGGCCTGACCCTGTCGTTTTGGTCTGGGACCCTCTAGTGAAGGGAAAGCAGAAGCCTCGCCTCCCATCCCAGGGCCTCAACTGCAGTTGTGCCCGAATGGAGACTGCAGAGAGAGCCCAGGGCACTAAAACGTTTTTCCATGGGAACGTGAGGGTATAGAAAGGAACTGTTCTTCTCCTATTGCTCAAATTATGAATAAAAACCCAGTGTCTTTCATCTGTGGGACATGGTGGTTTTGTAAACTCTAATTAGTTCCCAAGACATCTTTGCAAGTTGGCAGGTGCAGGCTCCCCGTGAGGAGCAGAGGGGGCAAGGGGACGCACCCCGAGTCTGCGAGAGCCCCCCTCCACACACCCTGCCGACTGGTAAGCATCTCTGTCCCGGCTGGAGTTGGACAGTATTCGCTTTCTTGTTCTGGTTTTGCTGAAGCAGAGGTCACCGTGGAGCCCAGGAACTATACTTACTGACGGGATATAGGGCCGGGGAGGGAGATGGGAAGGTAATTCACTCGTTCAGGGACAGTTTGTGACAGGCCATTGGCACTTTCTGTCGAGAGGTGTGCAAAGCATCCCCGAGTCGTTCCTTTTGGTACCACAGGTCACGGGCCACGTTTGGCCCAGAGTGGTTTGCGGTGGTGTCAGCAAGATCAGATTGTGACAGGTCCCCAGCTGACAGTGAGAAACCTCTTTTTCTGGCTTTGGTAGGAAAGCCTCGTTTTAACGCTTGGTGTGCGGATTACAAACTGGGCCTTTCAGATATGTCCAGGGGAACCCTAAGACCATGCTTCCAAAGTTAGTGTCCATTGAGCAGCAAGAAAGAATTCCACGGGGCAGATGTGTGATTTCACTAACTTTCTCTCCTTGTCCCCCACTGTCAACTGGTCTCCCCCAACCCAGCTCCAGCACAAATGTCTGGTTCAACACTCTGTAGGAGTATTTGGGAAATCCATGCCAAGCCTGCAGTAAAAGCGGTCTGAAGTTTTTGAGATGTTTCTCATGTCAAAGGCCTCAAGGAAAGTCGTGAGCAGATTGCTGTATCTGTTCCAAACGTGTTTCTCCCTTGAGAGTCAAGGGCTGGTGCGTCGACACTCTGAGGGACAGGAGAAAGGAGCCCTCACAGCCTGCACGGCGGGGGGCGAGCTGGTCCTGAGCATTGGGGTAGGGGTCACAGCGCAGAAGTGTTTGCCTGTTTTCACTGCCGCCTCTGGGCTAACCTGCAGGCGGCCCAGCCTGTTAGCATGGCCACCACGGCGTCTTTTTGCAGTTTGGTTTTAGGAAGTCATTCTAACTTAATTCATGCTGATTGCACAAGTCAGAGAGGTTCCTTTTTCATCAGAATTTTGCTGCTCTGTTTCCTGAAACCTCTGGTACTGTAACATGCTGGCGTATAAGGTCATCTGCTGGCAGGGGCAGTTTCACAGGTGGTCCCAGGATCTCCTGCTCAGGTGGGCCCTGGGCTTGGGGGGCTAACGCCGCTGCCGCTGTGCAGCTGCAGTCTTGAAATTCTGAACAGTTTTCTCTTTGCATTTGTATCTTGTAAATGAAGTTCAATGGGGCCTTGGGGTGTGCACCGGGGAGGACTTGGGCCTTTTGCCTCCTGTGGTCCCACCTACCGTCACCTCCCTGCCTCCCCTGGGTGGGTTCTCACCCCTGCCACCTGGGGCCTGGACACAAGAAAGGCTGGGGTGAGGTGTGCACACCCCACGGCATCCCGGGCAGGGCATGCTGGGAGCTGCCCCATCCTGGGCTGGCAGCCCCACTGCGTTTCTGTGGATGACTGACTCCCCTCCCCCCATCCAGGTTGCCAGGGTGGATATTGCAACACCTTCACGGGTCACCTGCCCACCTTGGGTTGGGGCAACTGGTTTCTGGGAAGACGAAACCCCTGACTAGGCTCCCCTGCCCCCAGCTGGGTTGCACACATCCATCCCGCCGCTGGGGGAGGGGAAACGCGGCAGACCGGGGTCACGTGCGCACCTGTGCACTGTCGCAGGAGCCCAGGGTGCCTCTGAGGAGCTGTGCTCACCCTGCAAGTCTCCAAGACCAGAAAGAGCAAGTAAAAAACATCACGACGTGCTCAACAGTGTGTCAGTACTTAAAGCCACCGAACTGTACACTTAAAGACGGTTAAGATAGTAACTTCTGTGTATGTTTGACCACAAGAAAAATATTTATAAGGTGTTTTTAAAAAGACAGAAACAAGAAACATCATGACAAGTGTTGACAGAGAGACCAGAAAGGAAGGGAAAAGCTTGATATTTTAGTAACTTAGAGTGCCCATTAGATAGGCACTTTTGTCCCTGCATTTTGGACAGAGGGTCCCACGTCTTCACTTTGCACTGAGCTCCCTGAAGTATGTCACCAAGCCTGCCGTTGGCCACCTTGTGAAACTACCAACTCTCCCTTGTGAGGACCCACTCTCGAAGCCTGAGTACATGGGCTGCTGGCCAGACTCTCACCTGTCCTCTCTTCTTCCCCTCACAGGTCTTTTGTTGGCTGTGTGCCAGGCCCTGGAGAACAGTACGTCCGCTCTGAGTGGTGAGTCCCATCCCCTTGGTGTGGGGTGGTGTGCGGAGCATTGCATGGCGGCAGACCCTGGCTGCCTCGTGGAGCCTGAGCTCTAAGCTTCCTCCCGGGACTCCTGGCCGCTGGGCTCCTGCACAGCTGTCCCCTGCACCCTCTCTGTCCTCTGTGCCAGGGGCCCAGGGAGTGCTCCTGGGAGGTCTTAACTGCTGACCTCAGGGCTTGCCCTCTCCCTTCTCTGATCAGACAATCACTGTGGGCAGGGGTGCCGGAAAGCAGAGCCCGCATGACCCACATGCTGGGCACCGTCACGTTATAAACCATCTAAAGAAGAACCCAGATTCCTAAACCCTTTTGTCTCCTTCTGCCTGGTGATTTTGTTTAGTTTTTTTTCCAGTTTATCTTTTGACATTTGTAGTCACATTTCCCTGGTTTCGTTTGCAAGATCCTTGATCAACAGATTGGAAAGTTGGGAAACGTGGGAGGCAAACCCTCCACGGGCAGAGGATCACAGAAAGCATCGGCTTTTAGCATTTGTCCATGTGCGCTAATATTTTTATACAGTTAGTTGGGAAACGTGGGAGGCAAACCCTCCACGGGCAGAGGATCACAGAAAGCATCGGCCTTTAGCATTTGTCCATGTGCGCTAATATTTTTATACAGTTAGTCATGATGAGGAAACTATTTGGATTCCTGCTTTTTAAATTCAAGGTTTGGCGTTGTGCGTTTTTCCATGTTGCTAGAAAGTCTTGAAATTTATCCTTTTAAAATGTCATGATGTTCCATGAAAACGGACCTATGTGGTTTAATTAGGCATTTCCCATGGGATATTTTTGTTGCCTCCAGTTTAAATTGTAATGCTACATCTTGATGCCTAGAAGGTGTTTCCTTCTTTTGGATTCTTTCCTTAGGACGTCTCTCCAGGAGCAAGGATAAATATATTTATGAACCTTTTAACAAATTGCCAGATAGCTTTCCAAGTGAATTGAGCTGATCTCTATGCCAGCAATGCATGATTCTGCCAGTTTCACTGTTCCCTCGTTGACATGGAGTATGCTCCCATCTGTTGTTGCAGTGGCCCCTGCTGTGTTTCCCTAGTTATCTCAGGGAGGTGCCTGGGCAGGAGGTGGTCCTATGCATTCATAAATTCTCTAACCAACCACACAGTGTCCCTGGTACTTGGCTCTTCTCTTCTTCCAGACCTTTCCATCCAAACACAGTGGAGGTGATGCTGCCACTCCCACTGAGTACCAGTCTCCTCTTGGAGCTGTTATTCTTGATGCACTTGAACCATTAAGGTGTCCAAGCCACTTGGTGGCCCATGTTGCCACAGATGCCTTTCTTCCTCTGTGTTATTCTTTTCTGGGACTCGGGGTAGAAGGATCTGTCCCTCCCAAAGCGGTGCTTTTAGAGTCCAGGGTCTGCCAGAGTTTCCATGAAGTAGTTCTTTCACTTTTTAATTACTTCCCCCGTCACAAAGGGCTCAGATATGGTATATAGGGAGGGGGAGATAGCTTTGTGACTCCCCCATGCTGTTTTCAGAACTGCCTCACCCCCCCCCCTTCTGGGATGCATGTACCCCCCAGGTGCATCTCCGGCCTCTCCTGGTGCTCACTGTAGGACCTGGCGGGCCAAGAGCCGGGGTCTCCTCTAAGTCACTTGCAGGTGACAGTTTGTGGTGATGGCAAATGTTGATGCTACCTCCATGGGGACGGGTACTCCTGGTTATTTTATCCCCTCCTCCCATTGCATCCATTTGTACAAGAAAGGCCTAGGGGATGTCGTACCTCAGCCAATCCCCTCAGGGGCCTGGCGTGGCTCCTGCTGAGGCCCTTTGTGGTTTCACAGGCTCTTCTGGGTAGAAATGGGAAAACCTGGGACATTTATCCAGAGAATGACTGTCCTTGCTGCAGTAGTGACCAACCTCTCTTCCATCTTTCCTTTCTGGACTCGCTTCTGTGAGATAGTCTCAGGTCCTTGTTGATATCAGAGACATACTCTCCCTCATGATGATGTATGTTCAGAAAACAGTAGTTGTGTCCTGCCCTTTTGCACATGACCCTGTAACTGGCTGAGTGCCCCTCTGTAGCCCAGTGTGGTGGGTGAGAGCAGAGGTGGTGCCACACCTTCTAGTGTCCAGGGGGCCTTGAGATCTTGGAGTTGGTTGGTGATATGTGGAGAAGGGAGGTGGGCTGCCCGTCTGGCCTCTGCATTGCTCTCTGTTTGATGGATTACTTAGCTATGGGACTTGTGCCCCGGAGAGGTTAATGGAATAGTTCTTTCCATGTTCGCTTACTCTCTACCCTACTCCATTGGACCGAGACATGAGTGCAGAGAGGGCTGGGCTAGTTAGTAGACAAGTCCAAATGGTGATGGCCGTGTCATAGCCACCCCTCCAAGGGCTAGGGCTTTGTGACTAAATCAGCCTTGTCTGCTCAACTTCCTCTTCCTTTAGGGTGACCTTCCTATCTCCTAGGTCCCCAGGCCCTGGTAGGCCTTGACCATCCCATGCCACCCCGACGCCGTCCTCTCCAGACATGGCTAAAATCCTGCTGTGGGTGCAGCTCAAACTGGGGACAGCCCCTGCCAGCCACACTCACTACCCCAGCACTGGGGTATGTGTGTATTTAATTCTTGACTAATTCAGGAAGTAAAACTACTTGTTACTGTTTATAATGGAAATCTTCATACATAGAAAAGAAGAAATCATAGTGAAATCAATCCCCATATACCCAGCTTCAACAATTAGGACACTCTGCAGTTTTTTCTTTCATCTATTCTCTCACCTTTTTGAGTTTTATCTTTGCTGGGATAGTTTAAAACAAAGTCCATTTCGCTTGTGAACACTGCTTATATCTAACAGGTAGGAACTTTAAAAACAAAACCATAGTTCAGTTACACCCACAAAAGCGACAAGAATTCCTTTTTTGTTAGAGCCTTAAATATGGAGGGTGGATGATGCCGACTTCGAATCCGTGGGCTTCCTTTAATTTGCATTCCCTTCGTCACACGATGAGACGTTTTAGATTTGTTGTTGTTGTTGTTCTAGATTTTTTTTTTTTTCCCTCACGTGTTATGCAGGATCTTAGTTCCGCAATCAGGGATCGAACCCGTGCCCCCCCGCAGTGGAACCGAGGAATCTTAACCACTGGACCGCCCGGGAGGTCCCTAATTTTCATTCCCTTTGATGTTTTCATAGTTTTCTTTCTACTTATATTTCCTTTCAGGTCAACAGTGCTTTTGGAAAATGTGCTCATTTGTATACTGGGTGACTGACTTCCACATCTGAGTCCCTCCTACAACCCTCATGCTCTGGTTGTTGGTGGGCTCATTTACTAAATCGTCAAACTATCCATTTAGGTGTGAAGATGGGCTGTTTTAGGACAGAAGCTATGGGAGCTTCACCCATGGCATAAATATGCAGGTCTCTCCACTCTCAGAGTTGATTGGAATGAGAAGCAGTAATGGACATAAGAAGGTTTTGGTACATCCCTGATTGATGGCGCTGGAGCAAAGGACTGCAGGCACACTCAGAATTAAGCTCTAACGTTTTGATGAAGCAGCATAGAGAGAAAATTGCAAACTCCATGTGCCAATCTGGAGTAGAATGTGAGCTTGAAGGAACAGGGGCTGATCCCATACGGCTTTCTTGTGCTTTTCCCCCAGAAAAGTTCCATGTTCTCATGACTTCATGGTTGCTCCTGACTTTCTTGTTGAGGTTTCATTGGTTTCTTCCAATCTTCCTTTTTATAAAGCCCCATGTGTGGAGGGTAGATGATACCAGAGGCATGGGAAACTGGCATTATTGTCATCAGTAGATGCTTCTCAGACATCTGCTTTGGGTGGGACATTGGAGGGATACATGCCTTAGGCTGGTTTAGGCATCCTGGGCATGGGGCCCATCTGGTCTGAGTTTTGCCGAGTCCCTGGGCAAGTTATGCATCTGGTTCCTCTTTGGATCTTAGTTTCCTCCTCTGTTGGCCTTGAATCAGAAATCACCTGTGACGTTTTTCACATGATCACTCTGATGGATAGATAGAGACTACCTGGAAAGCTTTGCTGAGGATTATATGGCTGCCTTCAGACTGTCGGGAAATATGGCAGTGGTCGACGGGCGGTGCCTGCCACAGGCCTCAGATAGGCTGGTGGTAGTGTGACCGCCACGTATCTCATTCTCTTGGAGCTAGGTGCTATTGTACATTCAGGTTCTAACATGATAGTTACTGGACAACTTCTGTGTCCTCGTCCGCACTACACAGGTGAACCCGTAATGAGAGCCTCATAGTGACAGAAGGCAACCACAGCTGACTGCTTAGTGTATGATTTAGAAAATAATTGCTATGAAAGTGAAGTCAGTCGTCTGGGAGTCAGGACAGAAAATGTGTCTCTGGTTGGTTGTCAATGTGTAAAGCACGCAGAGAAACATTAGCTGGAGGCAAGGTGAGGGTGGCAGGCAGCACCTACAGCCTAGAGCTTCGCATCCTTCACAAAGAGTTACAGCCTATCTTCAACGGCACCTTTTCATGCCCCTGACAAGGGACAGAATGCATCCTGGGTAAGTTGTTGGCTGGCTGCTTGCTTAACCCTCGGAAATGTTGCGTAGTTCCCAGGCTGCCCATGAGGTTCTCGTGTTTTCGTGAGACTTGCTGTAGTGACGGGGGGGTGTGGTGAGGGCCTTGCTCGGGCACCTGGCTGTCTTCCTTGCACGATCTGGGTCCTCGGGTGGCTCTTTAAACCTCTGAATTCGGCTCCTTCCTCTAGCCTGTGTCTAGTGACCCCCACCGGGAACCGGGCAGTGTTGGAAGCCTTACCTAATTCAGCGTCTGGGAGACTTCAGGGGCGATGATAAAAGACCATGGAAAATCCACAGTGCTGTTATTCATGGGGAAGGTCACTCTTATCCGCTTGCTTGGGGAGATGGTGGTCAGATTTTGGTGGGGACTTTGGGCTTAACTATGTCGAGAAGGGCGAGTTTGGGCTGGGAGTGCAGAGGGAGGGCAAATCTGATTATAGGG